AATTCCGCTGCGTATAGCTCGTACGTTACAGGCGAACCCAACAGGTACCACATCAAGGTCGAGGAGAAAATTCCTGAGCTAGACAGCTTCTTTCGCTGCCTCTGAGACTGCTACATACTCAGCCTCCATGGTTAAGTCTACCACGCATTTCTACTTGACACTCGTCCATACTATGGCTCCTCCACCTAAAGTAAACACAAACCCTGAGGTCGACTTGCTTTCGTCCCGGTCTGCCTGGAAGTCAGAATCGGTGTAACCCAATGGACGCAATTCATCTGCCTGGTAAATCAACATGTACTCTTAGTCCTACGTAAGTACTTGTGTATATGCTTTACCGTAGACCAATGTTTTGGTCCTGGATTACTCTGATATCTTGCTACCATGCCCACGGCATAACAAATATCAGGTCGCGTGCACAACATAGCATACATGAGGCTTCCTACTGCCGATGCATAAAGAACTGCCTTCATGTCCTCTATCTCTTGAGGTGACTTCAGGGACATCTTCTTAGATAGAAGTATTCCGTACCGAAAGGGTAAATCCCCTTTCTTGGAATCCTGCATGTTGAAATTCTTTAGGACAATGTCTATGTATGTGGATTGGGATAGGCACAACTTTCTATTCTCTCGGTCGCGAATGACCTTGATTCCGAGAACATGTCCTACTTCTTCTTAATCCTTCATATCAAACCGCTTGGATAACCATACCTTTACGTCTGGTGACATCTTCATACCGTTTCCAATGAGAACAATATCATCCACGTACAACACTAGAAACACCACCACGTTTTCATCACTTTTCTTGTACACACAGTGCTCATCCGGACATTGGGTAAATACATACGATTGGACAACCTCGTCAAAACGGATGTTCCAAGACCTCGAAGCCTGCTTCAGCCAATAAATGGACCTCTTCAGCTTGCAGACCAGATGCTCTTGGCCCTTTGCAATGAATCCTTCTGGTTGCTGCATATAGATATCCTCGTCCAAATTCCCGTTAAGGAAAGCGGTCTTAACATCCATTTTCCAAATCTCATAATTCATATGAGTGGCTACAGCCAAGATAATCCTGATGGATTTGAGCATGGCTACCGGCAAAAAGGTTTTCTCATAATCGATCCCTTCTTTCTGAGTGTACCCTTTCGCAATAAGACTAGCTTTGAAGGTCTCAACCTTCCCATCTGCTTCTCTCTTTCTCTTATAGACCCACTTGCATCCAATGGCGCGGACGCCACTGGGTGGCTCTACAAAATCCCAGACCTGATTAGAGTCCATTGACCCTATTTCAGATTACATCGCCTTTTGGCAAGAATCTGCGTCCCGATCTTGGAGTGCCTCATTGTATGTCCATGGGTCGGATTCAAGAACGTCTAGGACGACCTCAGAAGACTCTCCTAGACCTACGAACCGTTCGGGCTGCCGGACAACCCTTCCACTACGATGAGGTACTACCTGCTCAGGTGCATCATCAGCGATACGTGTTGCAGTATTTTGTGGTGTAACATCTAGCACACTCGGTATTGAAGTACTCACTCCCTTTAACTCCTCGAGGACATGTCTACTACTGGGCTTATGATCTAAAGCATAGTCTTCTTTCAAGAACCTAGCATTCGTGCTAACGATTACTTTCTAGTCCTCGGGACGATAAAATAGACCACCTTTAGTTTCCTTAGGATATCCCACAAACAGCCTTACTTCTGTCCTTGGTTCCAACTTATCAGTATCGGTTTTCAGCACGTGTGCTAGACTACCCCAAATCCTGAGATGGTGTCGACGGTACTGATTTCGAAGGTACTCTATTCAGAATGTATACCGTTGTTACTAGGGCGTATCCCCAAAACGAATTTGGTAAAGTACTATAACTCATCATTGCCCTAACCATTTCCATAAGAGTCTTATTCCTCCATTCTGCTATGCCATTCTGCTGAGGCGTGCCAGGCGCAGTCAGCTGGGACATAATCCCATTATCCGTCAAGTAGTTCTTAAATTCATTCGAGAGATATTCGCCATCACGATCTGATCACAATGACTTGATACTTTTTCGTAACTGCTTTTCCGCAGCTGCCTTATACTCTAAGAACTTCTCAAAGCATTTAGACTTGCGGTGCAGAAGGAAAATGTAGCCATATCTCGAGTAATCATCGATAAATGTAACGAAGTACTCGAAACCTCCTCTCGCTTGAACACTCAAAGGACCACATAGATCGGAATGAATTAGCCCTAACACATCTTCGGCTCTATGCCCCTTTGAAATAAAAACCCTCTTAGTCATTTTGCCTTCCAGGCAAGACTAGCAAGTTGGAAAAACCTCGACTTCTAACGACCCCAAGGGCCCGTCTGCTACCAAACTTTGAATCCTCCTAAGGTTAATATGACCGTCTTAGATGCCAAAGATATGTTTCGTTCATTTTGGAAGGTTCCTTTCTCTTATTTAGATTAGATGATGAATTAAGTAATTGTTTCTGTTGCAGTGGAGATGACTTAGATTCTACAATGTATAGATCTAATGAACCAGAACATATGAACTTTTTGCCAAAACGAATAACAACTTTATTATCAAAAGTAGCAGAAAAACCGTTCATAAACAACTTAGAAACTGAAATCAAATTCTTTCTAAAACTAGGAACATAAACACAATCTTTCAAAACTAGAAACCTATCTAAGCCAAAATCTAAATAGACGTCTCCCACCGCAACTGCTGACGCTCTACTAGCATCGCCCAAGTAGATGGTTAACTTCTCCTTCCCTAAGTCGTTTGGTTTCCTGGAACCACTACATTTAATTACAGACATGATCAGTGGCTCCTGTATCTACACACCAGGTACTGGTAGATAACACCACTAAACATGTTTCAACGACTAAAGAAAAAGATGTACCTTTGTCGAACTTCTTGAGGAGAGGGCAGTCTGCCTTCCAGTGTCCTTTCTGCTGGCATTTGTGGCACTTGTGTAACACTCCGACTTACTATTACATCAGAGTACGTGATTTTTCGCAATTTTCTGAATAAATAAATAAAATACTTATTTTGCGAAAACTGATTCGGGGGCTACCGTGAAAAACTTGATTTTCTGAAAATCGTTAAAATTTAAACTGATACATAAAAACGGTCATAATGTCTTATCCGACTAATATCAGAGCAACGTCTGATAATAAGTACTGAAAAGTTTTAGCGGAAACATAGCGTGGTTCAACATAAAATACATTAATCATAAATGTCCTGAACAGCTCGCCCGCTCACTCCTCGTCTCCGACCCTGCGACCTGAAAAAAAACATGAAAGGTGTGGGGCGTGAGCACTAAGGCACTGTGCTCCGCAGAAACTCATACTAATGTAAAACATCGTAAATAATAACAATACCATGAACTAAGCATATACAACTGAACTGAATCTGAAACTGATATCTGATAACTGATAACCGGTCTGATCTCGTGACATAAGTCACGTAACTGATAACTGAATCTCGCGACAAAAGTCACGTAACTGATAACTGAATCTCGCGACATAAGTCACGTAACTGATAACTGAAATCTCCCGGCAAAAGCTAATACCGGACTATGTGCACACTCTAGTGGTTAGATTAGGCCACTAGAACTCAGA